GTCTATAATTCTATCAGGTTTTTCTCCTGATGTCAGAAACACCACCTCTGCAGACAGTGTTTTATAACCAGCATCACAGCTGAAACTGAATTACTGCCCTGCTGTCCTGTGCTGCAATGTGTCCTTTAGCCCCCATTTTTCCCCCTTTCATCCCCATTTTCCCCCCTTCATCCCCATTTTTTCCCCTTTCAACCCCATTTTTCCTCCTTTCATCCCCATTTTTCCTCCTTTAATCCCCATTTTTCTCCCTTTCATCCCCATTTTTCCCCCTTTCAACCCCATTTTTCTCCCTTTCATCCCCATTTTCCCCCTTTCATCCCCATTTTTCTCCCCCCTTCCCTCTCTCTCTCCCACATTTCTCCTCTCCCCTCTCAAACTCCCTCATTTCTCCACCAGGACAGAGAGTCAAATCTTCACTGAGTAACCCCACGATGTCCCCAACACCCCAAAAAACCTTCCACCCCCCAATCCATGGGACACACTCAGCCTGGAAAAATGGGAAAAATGAGCTCCATCCCTCCCAACACCCCAAAAATCTCAACCAACCCCTCCAAGCTCCACTCTCCCCCCAAAATCCAGAGCAAAATCCCATTTGGAGGCTGCTCCTTCCTCCCCATCCTCCTCCTCCTCCCCCCTGGGTGCAAATCCTCAGCTCTTTCCCCATCCTCGAGATTATTTGGGGCATGTTTTGCCGTTTTTCCTGCAGTAAACCCAATTTTCCTCCCTCTTTCACTCCTTTCCCCCTTTATTTTCCCCTTTTTCCTTAGATTTTCTGCCTGTATCAAAGGATTTTTAAAGCATCCAACCTCCCTCATCCCTTCCCTGGGCTGGGCCAAGCTTTGGGTGCTGTTTCCTCAGCGGTTTTTTGGGTTTATATTGGATATTTTCTCTATTTTTAGGGTTGGATTTTTCTCTGCCTTTCCCTGTAAGGGTTGAACTCTCCCTTGGAAAAAAAAAAAAAAAAAAGAGAATCCCCCAAATTGGGAATCATCCCCAAATCCCAAACTGTTTCCTAACATCTTTTTTTCTCTGCTCTGGGGAGGAAATGTTTAACCAAGAGTAACATTTCCATGTCCTATCGATATGTTTTATCTCTCCAGCTTAGTCTTTGTATTCATAGCTCTGAAGGAGGATGGGAAAGGAGGGAAATAATGAGCAGAATCAAGAAAAGGTGATGAGTTTCAGCCAGAAACTCGACAGGATAAAAGAGAAAAAAGGCAGAAATGCAGCCCCAGCCCTTAAAAAAGGAGGTTAGTTTCATGGCAGCTCAAATCCATGCTGGAGAAAAAGGCAAAACCACAAATAAAGCCAAAAAAAACCCCCAAAAAAAATAAAATAATCAAGGCTCCAGCGAACCTTTCTCTCCTAGAATTCCACACTAAGGGTTGGGGAGGGAGCTAATTCCAACAGGCCTTTTTTTTTTTTCTCCCTACCCAAATTCCAAGGCTAAATTTGCCCAAATCAAGGCCTAAATTCCAAGCCAAGGAGACTCAACCCTTTGCCCATCCTCATGCCCTTCCCTTCCTGCCCTGCCAAGGGAGCTTTAAACTGGGAAAAGGGACACACACAGAGAGGATTTTCCTTCCCATCCTCCCCCTCCTGCTGCCAATTCGCTATTTCCCAAGGCCGGGAGGGATGGATTAGAGTTATTAGCACTGTTGCTGCCATTATTCCCATTATTGTTATTGTTACTGTTATTATTTAACAGCCTTTTCATTGCTGGCAGAAATTCACTCCGAGCACCAAACGAGACAAGGCGAGGGAAAAACGACACGAGGGGGAGAAAGAGAAGAACAATAATTAACATTATTCCTATTAATAACCATTAAAATCCAACCCCACACCCTCCCTCTCCCTCCAGGAAAATCAAAGTTCCGAGTAGGAAAAAGAGCTTAAAATCAAAGAAATTTTCTGCGGGATGGAAAAGAAAAGGAAGAGCCACAACTGGAAGCTAAACCCAAATCACAACACTGCACAGAACCTTCGGATTTTGAATTTTTTTTGGCTTTTTGTTGGGATTTTGAGCCTCAAGTTTGCAGGTTGGGAAGGGTTGAGGGTTCAACTCAGTGGCCACGTCGTGATGTCATAAAAAAATTTGGAGTTTTAGTTTGGTTTAAACTTCCCTTAAGCAGTAGCTGATGCACAGGAGATCCATTGTATATTGTCCCAGTTTTTTGGTTTTTTTTTTTTTTATTCTGCTGTTTAGGATCATTTTAGGGCGAGTTTGGAAAAGAGATGAAAGATAAAATAAGTCACCAGACATAAAAGTAAAACTAATTCACACTGACTGGTTTATTGAACACTGGGACTGGCACAAACACACTAAAACTCTTTTATTGCAAGTTTACAATCAGCATGGAAAATCAATCCGAAAACACAAATAACCACGACAAAAAAACCCTAACTACTTGACTTTGTAAACCTTCTGCTGCTTTTTTTATTTTCTTTTTTTTCGCTTTTTTTTTTTTTTTT